TCGTTGGGCGACCTCACCGAGTACCACGGCCTCATCAAGAGCTTCCACGAGCAGAACGGTGATATATGCTGGTGGATCATATACCAAGGGGACGTGCGGTGCCGACTCGAGCACATGGAGCGCTTGAAGCGGGATCTCTCGGACCAAGAGAGCCAAGATATGCCATGGACGCATGTCTGGCAACAGGCCGTGAACGATTCCAAGTTCTGGAAGCGCGAGGTCGAGGACAAGTGCCTCCGCATCCTCGCGAAGGCGGGCAAGCTGTCAGATATGGTCGATGGTGATGCTCCAGTGGCTGCTCCCTCGGGCGAGGCGGCGCCGTCGAGCCCTTGGGCCAGGCCGCCTTCGAAGCGCTCCTGGGGCTCCTGGGGAGGCGGCGGCGGCGGCGACCAGAGGCCAGCCAAGACGTCCAAGGGCCCGAAGCAGCACAACGTCGTGGACGGCGAGTACCGCACGAACCGCGCGGGCTGGGGCTTATGCTCGGACTTCCAGTCGGGACGCTGTCAGAACGGAGGGAACGGCTACTGCCCGAAGAACCGCTGGCTTGCACACCAATGTTCAAAATGCCTCGCCCTGGACCACGGCTCGCCCCATCCCAAGCCGTGCACAGGAACTCCCAAGGAGTCCTCGGCGGTCAAGCGTTCGTCCGGAAAGGGCGGGAAGGGGAAGGGCAAGAGTGGCAAATGGTGAGCCCGCGACCCTCTTCGGGAGGCAGCGTGCCAGCCGGATGACGTTGTGATGACGTTGGCACCGTCGGATTTGTCATCCAAAGCCCTGGCGCGCCCCACGGCGCAGCCGCCAGCGGTTGCCGAACTCTCGCTTGCCCCCGCGCGCTGCGCCAGTCCCTCGGCGAGCGGCGTGGGCTGGAGCTCGGTGGATCGAGCCGTGGAGGATTCCGGCGTCCCCGCCGAGATCACCCAATGTGACCGGCATGCGGAGCCGAAGCGTCGCTTGCTGCACCTCTTCGGGGGGCCGGTGTCGACGCGGGCCATCGACGACCACTGGGACACCACCGTGTACGACAAGGCGAACGGCGACAACTACGACCTTGCAGAGGACGAGGTGTGGGCAGACCTCGCTATCAAGATCGACGAGGGCTTCTGGGGCGCGCTGCTGGCGACCCCGCCGGCGCTGACCTTCCATCGTTGCGCTCACCTCAGAGGCCCAGGTGACACGGACATCTTCGGCGTGAAAGGTCTCAGGCCGAACGAGTCCAAGTCGGTTCGGGAAGAGACGCTCCTGGCGAATCGAACAGCTGAGGCAGCGCGCAGGTTCGACCAGCGCGGGCGCCCGTGGCTCGTGGGCGCACCGGAGCCCCGCCACGGAGTGTCGATGTTTCTCCTCCCAGCCTTCAGGTCGCTGGAGGCGTTGGCCGGCGTCTGCGACTCCCGCGCCGCGCCGCGGTGCCCTGGACTGTTCGACGGCGCGCCCGCGATCTTCAGGGGGAACCTCGTCCTGGGCTTCGAGCGCGACGACTCCGACGACCTCCTGCGCTACCTCCGGAGCGCGTTCCTTATCGAGCTGGGCCGCCTGGACTCGATTCCGCGACCAGCTCAGGCGGGCTCGCTGCCGGACGAGCGCGCCGGCCCAGCGCGCCTGCAGCGCGAGGTCCGCTTCACGAACCCCCTGCGTCGCTCTGCGGAGAACCCGAGGGAGCAGAAGCGCAAGGAGGACGCCGGTTCCCTCGGGGGGCTCAGGGACGCTGCTGGCGCAGTCAGGCGCATGCCAGGCCACCGCGTCATTGGCCCGGCCCTGGCTCACCTCATGTCCCGTTTCTTGGACAAGTTCCCAGAGATCCAGCAGCGAATTCTCCGGGCCATTGGAGGCGGCCATCCGGCGGGGGTCGACCCGCTCGCGCTGGGGCCGACAGAGGAGGAGTTGGACATCTTCCGCAGGATTCTCGGGAAGGCGCTGGGTACGAACGACATCGGACCAGCTCGCTCGGATACCTGTTCCACCGAGCTCCGTGGGGGCCCCCTGCTCCAATGGGGCCTCCGCGCGCGAGACCCAGGCTCGCACGTCGCGCACTGGTGTTGGGATGGTGCGCCAGCCGGGATCGCAGCTGACCCCGTCTTGGACGAATTGTTCCCAGCCGCCGCCGGCGACGCAGACGAGGTGCTGACCCCGGACGACCTCGTTGAGCCCGCCGAGGATTTCGTAAATTACCCAGGGTTCGAGGACGACCGGGAGGCAGTGGAGCAGGTGCTCGCGTTCGCCAGCCGCGAGCCGCCCTACCTGAAGGCATTCGACACCATCGAGGCCGTTCGGGAGTACCTCCAGGCTGAGCCCATCCTGTCCCGGTTCGGGGTCATACGGAAGGTCAAGGATGGTAGGGTCAAGAGTCGGGTCATTCTGGACCTCCGAGCGTCGAAGGTGACGTTCGCAACTCGGCGGACTCACCGGGTCGTCCTGCCGAGGGTGACAGACCTGGTCTCGGATTTACTGGAGCTGTTGTCGTCTCGGGACGTGGGCGACGACATTGAGCTCTTGATTTTGGACTTCGTTGGCGCCTTCTGGAACGTGCCGCTGAGGTTCGACGAGCGACGGCATTTTGTGGGTCGTGTAAAAGGAAAGTATCTCGTCTTCTTCCGGGCGGCGCAGGGCTCGCGCAACGGCCCTCTATCGTGGGCAGCGGTTGCGTCGCTGGCCATTCGCTGCGCCCAGTCGCTCTTCGCGCCAGCGCCTGGCGTGGTCGGCAGGGGCCTCGAGCACGTGCGGATCCAGACCTTCGTCGACGACCCCGCGATCAGCGTGAGAGGCTCCGCGGAGGACCGTGCCCGCAGGATGTCGATGATTGTGCTCGCGTGGCGTGCCTTGGGCTTTCCATTGGCCTTCCACAAGGCGCACCGGGGCGTCTTGGTACCCTGGATCGGGTGCGTAGTCACTGTGGACTCCGCGAACAGCCTGGCGCGGGTGGAGATGGCCAAGGCCAAGATCGACGACTGCAGGGCGTTCGTCCTCGAGTGCCTGCGCACCAACGTCGTTTCAGCCAAGCGTCTTCGGAGTGCGCTGGGCTCGCTTACGCACGTCGCGTCCCTAGTGTTCATCCTGCGGCCCTTCTTGAACGAGATGTGGGGCGCGCTCGCCGGAAGCGCACCTGGCGCGCCGTCTGGGTGCATCTGGACGGCGCAGCTCAAGCGGCCGCTGTTGTGGTTGCGCGCCTTCTTCGACATGGAGATCGGCGACCTCGTCCGGGTGTTCCACCTGGACGCCTACCTGGGGACTGGCCCGAAGATCCGTATCGTTACGGATGCAAGCCCCTGGGGGCTTGGAGGCTTCATCGTCATCGAGGGCGTCTTTGTCTCCTGGTTCGCAGTGGAGCTGCGGCAAGACCTTGCGGAGGTCTTGGGGGTCGAGATCGGCTCTTGCACCGGCCAGCAGACCTTGGAGGCGTTCGCTATCCTCCTCGCGCTGCGCCTGTGGTGTAAGCACTGGCAGGGGAAGAGACCGACCCTCGAGGTCAAGGGGGACAACGTTGGCGCCCTCACCATGCTGGCGAAGATGCAGTCCAAGGGCAGAGGCACAAGCCTCATTGCCCAGGAGGTGGCCCTGGACATCGCCTCGGGGGAGTACGAGCCGGATGTGTTCTCCCACTCCCCCGGCGTCAGTGCCACCATCGTGGATGCGCTCTCGAGGAAGTTCATGCCGGGGGCGCCCTTCGAGCTCCCAGTGCATCTTCGACACGTCCCTGAGGCCCGCCCCCCGCCCCTCGATGCCACCTTTTTCCGCGCAGTTGATGGCCCGCTGGCTTCGCCAGCAACTGGGACTTCCTAGGGGGCCGGCGCGGGCGGGCCGAGGGCCCGTCCGCCTCGCGCGGCGGCGGCGCACAAGTAGGGCGGGCACCTGGGGCCCGCAGTTGTGCGCAGCAGGGCTATAAGCCACGCGAGCTCTATCCATTCTCTGCGAAATTGAAAAGTCAGCGTCGTCGCAGTGCCGCGTTCGCATCTGCAGCATCGATTCTGTAGGTGGGGGGCACGATGTGTTGCCGCGCGTGGGTGCGATTTATTTTCTCCGTGCTGACTGCATGTCTGTGTGCGGGAGCTAACCTACTCATCGCGCCACGCGCATATGTCGGTCGATGCTGATGCACGTTTGCGGCATGACGTACCCTTGACATCATGAGAGCGTGTTGGGGTCGGGTTGTGTACCCAGCTGGATGCGGCGACGTCGACCTGGCCGGAGCTCTGCCGGCAGGTGGCGTCTACCGGGCTGGATGTTGGGGCGCGGAGGTATGTCTATGCCTTCGTAGCTACCCGGCTGGTGGGTGACGTTTACCCGGCCGGAGGGCGGCGTGTCCACCCGGCTGGAGGCGGACGTCTGCCTGGCTGGTCGGCGGGGGCGTGGGCGTCGGCAGGAATATCCGGATGGAATAACCGCCCCAATTTCCGCCCCTACTTTGTTCCCCCCCGTGGGTGCCCGGCTGGAGGGTGACGTTAACCCGGCCGGAGGGGGGCGCGTCTTCCCGGCTGGAGGCGGGCGTCTGCCTGGCTGGTCGTTGGGGCGGCATTGGCGGGAGTCTCTGGTCAGGTGGGTGCCTTGCATCGTGCGCGGCCAGTGCGGGTACCTGGGGCCCGCGGCCGTCATGGGGGCCCCGCGCAGGGGGCTGCCACGCGTGCGTTTCCCATCAGGGAGGGCGGTGTTGCCCGCGGTCGATTCTCGAACGATTCGGGCGGCTGTTGTTTCTTTCGACCGATTTGCGATCCGGCTCCAGGCTCTTGATTGCTTTCGGTGTCAGATGCAATGGTTGCCTGGCCTGCCGCCCGCAGGTGTGGGCTATTGGGCGGTGGCCCAGTGGATCCATTGGCATCTGATTAGGCTTCGATCGGGATGGTTACACCGCCGCGGCAGCAGCAGCAGTTGCGGCTCAGATGAAACGCATATTTCAATGGTCGAGTTCCCCGCACCCGGGGCGGGAGGGCGCGCCGCCAGGGAAGCGGCAAGCTCCGGAGGGTTTGTTTCCCTGGAGCGGCGCTCCGCCGGCGCCATCGGCGGCGTCGCAGGCGACCCGATCGGATGCAGCTGACGTGCCGGCTGCGCCGCTGTTCTCCTGGGGCCGCCGGGATCGCGGCGGCGTGGCTGGAGCTGCGGCTGACTCCTGGTCTGCCGCTGCCCCGTCGCGGCGTGGCGCCCCCCCTGTGTACAATCGCCGTCGGGGCTCTCGAGCTGCTGCGCTGGCAGCCTTGGACACCGCGGAGGCCCGCGAGGCTGCCGCTGACGTGTTCCAGCGGGACGTCCATAGTGCCTCTTACACTGGAGACTCCTTGCTCAACACGTGGGTAGTCTTCCACAACCATTGGTTCAGAGGGCAGCTCGCTGTCTTCCCGCTCACTGTCGCGTCGCTCGAGGCTGTGGGCGTCCTGCTTAAGGCTGGCGGCTACAGGTCGCCAGCGAATTATTATTCGAAGGCCAAGGACGAGCACCTTGCGCATGGGCATCCTTGGGATGAGTTTTTGGATCGGGCTGTACGCCGGGCAGTCCGCTCCATCACGCGGGGCATGGGGCCCGCGAAGCAGGCTGCTGAGCTTAACGCCCCTGGCCTGGTGAGCTTATCGGGGTCGTTGCCCTGGCTACCCAACGTACGCAATGGGCCCCTGGGCCTTCGGACAGCGCTCCTCGTCGGCATCATGTTCTGCATGCGGGAGGTGGAGCTCGCCTTGGCGAAGATCTGCCACATTTCGTTCGACCACGCGGCCAAGTCGGTGTCGTGGGATTTGCCTGCATCGAAAAACGACCCGACAGCTCAGGGCAGGCTAAGGACTTGGGAGTGCTTGTGCAATGCCGACGGGGGTCCGCATCCGTGTCCGTACCATTTAGTACTCCCGCACCTTGAACATCTACGGGGGCATTTTGGACGGCTGCTTCCGGGTCTTCCTGTGTTTCCCACGCCGTCCGGTGACGTGGTCGCGAAAGCTGCCATGGTCAAGTCGATCGAGGAGGTCGCTTCGTGCCTCGGCCTCCCGCTGCACGACGAGCTCAACAGGCCCCGGTTCGGAGGGCACACGCTCCGAGTTACCGGTGCGCGCTGGCTGGCGGCTCTTGGGCTGCCCCTGGTGTCGATCCAGTTGCTGGCGCGCTGGGAGTCGGAGACCGTCCGGCGGTGCATTTCGGAGGCGCCCCTTCGGCGTCTCTCCGTGGACTACATGGCTGCCGCGGGGGACACGCACCTCCGGGGTTTCATGTCCAAGTCCGAGGAGGAGCTGAAGGCGTCAAAGGCAAAGGTCAAGGGACTCGGTGACCAGCTCTGGAAGGAGCTGTTGGAGCTCCGGGCGAAAGCCCAGGAACCCCAGGATGCTGGAGGGGATCCTGAAGATAACGACGAGCTTCCTGTTCCACCTGCGCCTGTTCGACCTCATGGCAGTGGCGGCTCAGACAACCACCTTTGGATCATGAGTGCGGACACGAGGCAATCTCGTGCCCAGAGGCTCACTGCACATCTCCACGAGCTTCCTGGTATACTTTCGGGAGACCCTGCAACGTGGGGGACACTGTGCGGCTGGTCCTTTGGTCTCGCGAGGTTCACGACCGTCGCGGATCGTCCTGATAAGTCGCTGGTGTGCATGCGCTGCTGGGGCCGCTTTACCGCTCAGCAGGGCGGCAAAGCATCTGGCACCACGTCGGCCCCAGTGGGGGCGCACGCACCTGGGGCGTGCAGCCGTGGTTAATTCTGGCAGCATTGACACTTGAAACAGCAGCTTCGCAGTGAATGCAAAATGGTATTGCTCGGGAGGGTGGGCGGTAAGTGCGCCGGAACATGTGTGAAAAAGAAGTGGCGCAGCAACTTCGATTGTCACATGTCCGTCCCTTCTGGGTCTGGTGGGTGGGAAGATGCTGCCGCTCCGATCGTGGCCGTTTTGGCTCAAGATCGGGGCGAAGGAAAATAACCCACCCACCCGCAACCTAACTACAGCACCACGGTGCACCACGTCGGCCCCAGTGGGGGCGCACGCACCTGGGGCGCGCAGCCGTGGTTAATTCTGGCAGCATTGACACTTGAAACAGCAGCTTCGCAGTGAATGCAAAATGGTATTGCTCGGGAGGGTGGGCGGTAAGTGCGCCGGAACATGTGACGCGTGCCAACTCGATTTGGGGTTTTCTGACCCCCCTCTCGGACTAGACACTCTGAGCATTTACGCTTCATGCGTTCATGCCTTGACGCATTCGTACTTGCACGTGCTACGCGCAGCGTGTTCAGGCTCCGCTCTTGCAACGCTCCTCCCCGGCCGTCTTCACGCGCTTCCGACACCTCCCTGGGCACAGGGATGGCCGCAGGCCCTGCTGCTCCGGCTGCCATGGCAGCCGCGCTACCACCAGCCCCGCCTCCGCACGTGCACCCCGCCGAGCGCCCGCTTCCGCAAGGGCTCCCTGCAGGGAGCGAATACATCAAATCCAAGAAGACGGGCTACAAGCTCCAGCACGCCAGGCTCTTGTACGTGCAGCGGTGCGCCGCTGCAGACGGCTGCACCACATGGATGTGCGACAAAGGCAGGACGTCCAAAGGCGGGGCCCAAGGGTGCCCAGGCAACTGAAGGCGCACATCCGCGGGCCCAACGTGGAAATCGATATCGTCACGCCACGCTCCCACCTCCCTTGTCCGGACCGCGTCGCTGAGGAGCGTTGCCGGGGACAGATCTACAAGAGGGCGGCGGTCGACCATGGCCCCAAGGCGGCCGTCGTCGCAGCGGCTGCCCTCTACGAGGTCCCGCGCGAAGACGTGGATGCCGTTCCCCCGCCGGCGAAGCTGCGCCGGGCTTGCTGGCGCGTGCGCTACCAGGCTACCAAGAAACGGCTCCAGGACTGGAGCGGTGGCCGCCCCTCCCCCCCTTGTCGCTCATCGTGTTCTATATGGCAAATCCTATTGAGACGGCTCCAACATAAGAGTCGGAAAACAACATTGCTGCTTGTACTTTTGTGTTTTTTACAGTGTTGGTTCTTGTCCTCTGGAAGCAAAGCAAACGGCTAAGAGGACGACGCTTCCTGCGAGTTCTGCGAGTGCGCAATACATAGCACATCGTACTGCCACGGCTTCACCTTGAAATATTCAGAAACAATATTACCCCATGTATTCCTACGCTTCTGATTCACATCTCTATTTCCTGGCCCCCTGCTCCACCGCCCACGCCGCAGGAGGGCGCCGACGACCCCGAGCAAGCCTTGGACTTCAGCTCCTTGGACGCCCGGACGCTCGTGCCTGCGCTCAAGAAGTTCGGCGACCAGGACTTCTTGCTTTGGGGCTCTGGGGCGGGCCCAGCGGGCGGGCGCATCCTCGCGCGCGGGGCCGCAGACAACACCGAGTTCACGAGCTCCTGCGACCTCTGGCTGGCCGACGGGGCGTTTCGGATGGCGCCAGGGCCGTTCTCCCAGGTCTACACGACCCACGCCTTCAGCAAGGGTTACACCATCCCGTGCATCTTCTTCATGTTGCCAGACAAGACCGGCAAGACGCACAGGCGCATGTGGGAGAAGGTCTGCGTGTTGATCACGGAGGGCGCGGAGGAGAAGACCTTGCTCGTCGACTTCGAGAAGGCATCCTACCAGGCAGCGCTCCAGTATTTCGAAGACATTAACGTGGGCGGCTGCTGGTTCCACTTCGCCGCTGCCCTTTGGAAGCGGGTGCGGATGCTGGGGCTGGCTACCAGGTGCCGCGAGAACAAGGCGTTCCGCTTGCGCGTGAAGAAGCTCCAGTGCTTGGCCTTCCTGCCGCTGGAGGACATCATCGCTGCCTTCGAGGTGCTCGCACACGAGTTCGAGGACGGGGGGGCCCAGATCCTGGAGCACTTCGAGGAGACGTGGATCGGCAAGAAGCCCCGCCGTGGAGCTCGCAAAGAGCCCATTTTCCCCATGGATCTCTGGAGTGTGCATCAGAGGGCATCAGAAGGAGTGTTCTTGACGAGCAACATGGCCGAGCTGTTCCACCGCTGGCACGCCGACCACTTCGTCGAGAATAAGCACCCGTACTTTCCCAAATTCGTCAACAATTTGCAGCTCCAGCAGGCTTGCACGGGGGGGGAGCTTGCGGAGCTCGCGATGGGCGCGCGCAAGAAGCCCGCCCCGGAGACTACGCAGCGCACTGCGCGTCAGAAGTAGTTGATCCAGACGTGCCTCCAGGACAAGCGCGTCGAGGACCTTCTGACGAACATGGCCAAGCTGTGCTTGAAGCAGGAGCAGTGAGGGCCTGCCTCCACCGGCCCTGTCTGTCCTTCCCCGCGCTTCCCTCTGGGGTGCACTGCGAGCTCTGCTGGCCTGCCCCGGCTTCTTCGCACTACAGGCGCGACCCGCCTTCTGTGCCGAGGTTCGCGGTCAGTCATGGCCCATGGCACCTGCGCGCGCTGGAGCAAATCTGTAGCACCCCGGAACGAGGCCGAAGGACCGGCAAATCCATAAAATCCGCGTCTTGCCCCTATGTATGCACATAATCTGTGCTGCAGCATGCTGCTGTGCACCGCCGCCACGCGCGCGGGACGTGACCGCGGCAAAGGGCCACTACTGAGCCACCGGAACGGCGACGCCACGCCGGAACGAGGCCGAAGAACAGGCAAATGCATAAAATCCGCGTCTTGACCCCATGTATACACATAGTCTGTGCTACAGTGTACTGCTGTGCACCGCCGCCACGCGCGCGGGACGCGAGCGTGGCAAAAGCCCACTACTGAGCCGCGGGAGCGGCGACGCCACGCCGGAAAAAGGCCGAAGTACCGGATAATCCATAATTCGCGTCTTGATACCATGTATACACATGATTTGCGCTACAGTGTACTGCTGCGCACCGCCGCCACGTGACGCGAGCGCGGCAAAAGCCCACCATGGAGCCACCGGAACGGCGACGCCACGCCGGAAAAAGGCCGAAGAACCAGAAAATCCATAAAATTCGCGTCTTGACATCGAGGAGGAGGGAGTGGAGGAGGGGGAGGAGGAGGAGGAGGAGGAGCAGGAGAAGCCGTCTGCGCGACGCCGGTCCGTCACCGGCCGGCGTGGCGGTCCGGCGTCGCGGTTCCGGCGAGGCGGGTTCCGGCGTGGCAGTCCGGCGTCGCTGTTCCGGCCTGGCGGGTTCCGGCGTGGCGGTCCGGCCTTGCGGTTCCGGCGAAGCGGGTTCCGGCGTGGCGGCCCGACGTTGCGGTCCCGGCATGGGGGTGTCCGGCGTGGCGGTCCGGCGTCGCGGTTTCCGGCGTCGCGGTCTCATGTCCCCATGCTGCCTCGCCGAGCACGCCTCCGCGCCGCTCCCGTCCGTCGCGTTCGTGCACCGGCACGCTGTGGCCGCGGGCGCTCAGCAGCCCCTCGCGGACATCAGCTATTGCCTGCCCTTCGAGACCCGCTCGCAGCCGTGGCCAGCAACAACAGCTCCAGCGGCAACGAGCGCTCCGCATGTCGCGACCTCCCGTCATCGCAAGCTTCACGCCGTCGCCGCCAGAAAGCTGCATGGTTGGACATCGCGATCATGCTGGACATCGCGACCGCGCCCATCGCCAAGAAGACCGCCCCGTGCCGAAACTGTCCGTGGGCCTCTCGCATTTCAGCGACGACGTCGTCCCTGCAGGCCGCTCTTCGGGCCGCGCTGCACCACGATCCTCCCGCGCGGCACGTTCCGCCGCGCGCCCCGCCTCCGTTGGCCCGTCGGGCGACGGTGCTTGGCACGACGTTCTGCAAGGGCAAGATCCATGCAAGTTGGCGGCTGACCTGGAGAAGTTCTCCACCTTCCCATCGCAAGGGCATCCACAAGGAACCGCCCTTCCTGCCGCGCATGCTCTCCCAGATGAAGTATTTGTGGCGTCCAAAACCCGGATAGCGACGTGGTTCAAACCAAAAGAAAATTATAGCAGACGCTCGCATGCACGCTGGAAAGCCTGCTTCCAAATCGAGAAGACACCTCTGCGAGACGCTTGCCAGGGCGCTGGAAGGCATGCCTGGGGAGCGTGCATGCTTCGAAACGCAAGCTCTCGAGAGCTTCAGGTGAGCTGACAAGGAACCGCGGACAGGCTTCAGGCAAGCGTGTTGTGAAAGAGTAGGAAAACGCTCTCGGGGCCCGCTGCGACTTCAAGCAGGCCGCTGCGAGGATGCCCGACAGGGGGCCTTGGAGAGGAGTTGGCGTAGCCCTGCGCTGCCAGCCTTAAATCCAAGGGGCCAGCCTCGAATCCAAGGGACTACCCGGGAACGTGCGCCAGGCTCCGATCCAGCAGCTCGCCCCCCTGGCCTCCCTGCAGGAGCAGATCATTATCGCCGCCGACGCATTCCGCGCCAGACCCGCGGAAACTTCCGTTCACTTCTCCAGCAGCATGCCCGCCAGACCGAGCGCCGCGCGGACAGCCTGCACGACGCCGTTGCCCGCGCCCGCCGCGGACAGGACCGACCGGCCGTCGAGCAGGAGCGCATGCGGCAGCAGATCGGCCAGATGCGCGACACCTTCGCCCTCGCCGAGGCCCGGATCCCGATCGCGCACCTCGCGCGCCTCGCCGA